CGCGGGCGGTTTTAGGCCGGCGCGACATGGTGGCGGCGGGACGCGTATAAGCCATTAAAAACCCCACCACTTCCTGACCGTAGAGGTGACACACCGTGTTGTATAAATATAAATAAATAAATAAATCCCCGTTAGGTTCAAGCCTTACCGATTTAGATGATGGAGAGCACTCAAGAGCCATGCTCCTGAGGTAACTGTCTCTGCACCTTGGAGGAGAGCACCAGCAAGATGTCATCTACCTCAAAGTTGGCAAAAATTCATTAAAAGGGACTTGGGATCGAAGTTACAAAATGCTAAAGAGCATCCAAGGCCAGAGAGGAGCAGAAATTAGGGAAAAGCTCTCAAAACTGGCATATGTCCCATGCCAACATGGTACATAGGCTTGTCCAAGCATTTTCCCTTTTCTTTTGGTGACATTTAACTAGAGGCAAGCTGCAACCACTGCTCTGCCTCCAACAACTCAGCATCACCTCCTATAAATATTTTCTCTCCCATTTCCCAAACGGATTTAAGATCCAAAGTGCTGCCCACCTTCCCATCAGGCAGTTTAATCTCCCTTAAATTTAAACCCTGTCTTCCCCTTCATTATCCTTAACCCCCATTATCACTGGGGTAGGTGAGACAAGTTTATATTTTTGCTGATACCATTAGCACGGCTGAGCTAGGATGGGGAGGATTCATGCTACTGCACAAGCAATGACTGAAAACTGTCGTTGCATACAGTGTATACTGAATAGTCACCTTATATTTTCAAATATTTGTAACTTTGAAAAAACTAACAACCATCTATCTGCATCCTACAGTGCACGAGGGAGAAAAAAAAAAAAAAAAAGCAAAAAAAACACCCAACACCCAAGCTTTTTCTCAGCCTTGATTGGGTTTTGGGGAACTTCTAGAGGCAAGAAGATCCAAGTTTTGTCCTCTTTGTAAGCATCCAATGCATTATTTTAGCATTTATTTCTCTCTCACAAATAAAGTTGTAGCAATGCCTTCCTCAAGATTTACGCCTCAGTCCAACAATGCACGCAGCTTTTATACTGAATTAGTAGCAAAGACTAAGAGCAGCTGGACAACACTGTGCTCACTCAAACATGGACTATGCTTTGGCAGGATCAGGGTGAAAGTACTTGTCTGCCACACAGCTTTTTTGTGACACACGTTAATAGAAAAAATGTGGTTAAATTTCAAAGAACCACTAGAGGCCACTAGAAGTCTGAAATCCTGGACTGAAAGATGGGATAAAGGGAGAAAAACAGTTCAGTTCTTCAGGATGATGAACACAATCCTTACCAGTAAAGTAACTGATATTTAAGGCTGGTATTTGATTTGAAGCTGTTCCAAATAATACATAAAAATCAGAAAATACAAGAATAAAATTATTTCCTTTATTTCAATAATTAAAGAGCAGTGCATGTATCTGATGAACAGAACTAACAGGAATCCAGATATAAAGGGCGGGAAAAAAAGATGAAAGGGTTTAAAGACAGCAAAACATGTCAGCTTCAATTTTGACACTTTACTATTTTTTCATTCTGTCACTGATGTAATTTTGTGGTTTCTTTCCTTAAAAATGAACCTGCTTGCATTGGTTTGGGGTTGGGGTTTTTTTGAGATTAAACTGACAATTCTTATTTTTAAGGACTTACCAATCAAATGTGTTGTGAAAAATAAAATATAATATCTGCTACCTACCAGCTTTCTGTCCTGGTCATTGCATTTTTTAAGACACCAGTCACTTTGATATGCAGTCATCTCACATGAAGCAGATTTTGCATAGTAACAGTGAATAGTGACAAGCCTTTTGCTTAAACAGAGGAACAGCAACATCCACTTTATTCTCGCCTAACAGTTTAGTGGTAATTAAGCAAAGACTAACCATCAGTGAAACTATGAATCTTTATTCTAAGATAAATTGCCAAATAAAAATGGACATATTCTGTTTACCCCAGAAGCCAAAGAAACTGCTCGCCAAATGTATCAATTATTAGGTGCACTCAGGAGCCCTCTAGGTTGATGGTATCAAAGCAAAATATATACAGGTTTTTCTCTTATTTTCCAAGACTGCAAAATTTGAAACATCTGGAGTCATTTGTCTTTTATTTTTTCTCATAGCCTACTCTTTTAAAAAAGTATATTATATATATATATAAATATAAATATACATAAAATCTTAGTAAAATTTGGTTTAAAAATTAATTTTAAAGGAAATTCCAACTCCGTATTTTTACGGTGTTAGCTACAGCTTTTGAGATTGGCAAAAGGTACGCAGCAAGGCTGTCAGTTTACTGATTTGCTATGGTCAGGAGAACACCTCCACCTCTGGACTCAAGCCTATTCATGCCCAAAATCTCTGTAACTTTATGTGCACTGCTGTAGATTAATTCTGCATGCAGGTATTGAATACATCTTTAGAGCCAGTATTTTCAAAAGGAGCTGAAGCTGATATAGCTGAAAATTTCCTTTGCATCTGCTGGGAAAATTCCAGTGACTTGCTTTTTTTTTTTTTTTTTTTTTTTTTTTTTTTTGGTCTTTTAATTTTCGGTTTTCCAGACATGATTTCAAATTCTTAATAGGGACTTCAAAGTGGGATTTGGGGGAGTATGCATTTGTTTCCCTGATTTATTTAGTTAATAAGCAAATTATCAGACAAAACTCTATGTAGTTTTCTTCCTAAAAATCTGTTATTTGAAAGTACTAAGGCCAACACAATTCAGTTTCACACACAGGCCAGTGCAGAAATGACCATAAATCCACATCAACATCCTTCAGTGGGTTTCCAGACATCCTGCCATAGGCTATGGCTTGCCATCAGCTCTTGCAGGAGTGAGGTGCTGACTAGCAAGGCTTTGTCTCCTCTGTTTGGCACAATGTGCAGTGTAGGAGTGCTTTGCTGGCATGTTTAAAAGGACTCCAGCTTCCCAATGAAGTGGGCCAAAGGATCTTGTCATTTGAGGCTGCTCTAGCACTTGATACCTTCCTAGAAACCACGTTAACAGTGTTGTTAAAATCCTGATCCAGATAAACAAAGGCACCAATTACCTCAGCTGATTCCACATTGACATGTGCATTTCCAAAAGCAAGAGCCAGCTTTTCCATGCATGTGCATTTCTAATGCAGGCTGGAGTTGCCAGGTAAATAAATATTCATTGGGTTAAATAATAACTTCTGGCTCTCAGCTCTTCTAATTTGTTAACAGGAACAGCAGATATGAAATTGGAGTTTCTACAAGCTTTACTTACATAAGGAATCACGGTGATGGATTGATGTCATTCAGGCAAACCTCCTCACATGATTAGGCCTTGTGCAATCAGCCTCTGTTTCTTTCCTACTTGTGCTCCAGGCTGAAAATTAGCATTGGGCAAACCTCAAACAAACCGATTTGAATAATCAGAAGTTTAGAACGTGTTTCTTGATGCTTTAAATCTGTCTGGGAAATCTCAGGAGAATTGGTATGTTAGCTGTGTAGTCCTCCCTACAGCCGATTTCCAGGAATGCCACATTACAAGGTTAAGTTTTTTCAAGGCCAGAAGCTAGGTGGTAGATTTTTGGATGAAGCTTCAGATCCATTCTCAAATTTTCATAGTGCTAACTTAACTGAAATTCAAGTCTGAGTATTTTAGAAAAGCAGATGTCCCACCTTGTCTTTGCTGAAACATCTGTAAAGCTCCAACCACAGTTAAAGACAAATAATTCCTAGGATGCAGAATGAACAGAGGCAGCTGCAGGTTTAGAATAGTCTTATATCAAAATAAGGAAGTTTAGTCTATTTTACATCATACACAATTTTTAGCTTGGTTATTATTACACAAAAAAAGGACCAAAAAAAAAGAAGAAATTGTTTTTAAATACATTTAATGTTATATCACATCATATAATTTAAAATCTTGTATCATTTAAATCCTTGCTAAATCTTAACATCAACAATAATAAAAGGTTTTTAAAAATCTTTTCTTTAGTCACACAATATTATCTTTGTTTTATTCTAGGGAAGAAAACAAAGTCTTCATAAATAAAACACTGACATGGAGCATAAGACAAACCCAGGCCAGACAGTTTGCTAAAAAATTTGTGAAAAGTGCATCTGGCTGGATCAGGACTCCCTGAGTAAGGTAGACATTCTCCCACACACCTCTTGGCTGTTTGGCCTCTCACAAGAAAATCTGAAATAAAGGCTGCCTTTCTCATTTTAAAGGTATTATATATACACGTCACTTGCAGTGTGAGGTAGGAACCAGTTTATAGGGGCTGTATCTAATCTGGGCCTCACCTCCTTATTGTTGCCCCTCCATATGCTAGGCAAAAAGATAGATTTAAGTGAAAAAAAAGCCTTAGCTATCTATGAAAGTGAACTACTGTTTCCTTTCAATTGCAATTCATCAGCTGATTATAAGGAAGGACACTTGTCATGATTTTTACCTTCAAAGAAATAAGAGGCACAAAAACCTAGACGTAATTTTTTTTCCAAAGGATGTCTTTGAAAAAAGGGGACCTGAACACTAGAAGAAAACAGTGTTTCTAGGTGACCTAATCCAAAACTCCATGAAGTTTCTATTTTCTAACTGAACCTGGCCCAGAGTAAATTCTTAGTTGAAAAATAGCAGCAACTCAAAAGTGCATAAATTACAAACTCTATCAATAAATTAAGGAAACAGATTTGCTGCATCAAACTATCCTCCTAACTGTCCCAAGATCCTTTTCATTTTATAGTGGACATGGAAAATCAGAATAAAGATAGTACTGTTTCAAAACCAAAACTAATCTAAAACCTTCAATAGATTTATTTCCGAGATAAGGCATCTTTTCTCTTACTG